TTAATGGTGCTATTTATTTTGTATTTGGTGTAGTATTTAATGACGAAATTGACAATTAATGTAATAAACATACAAACATAAGCACGTTTTGCACATAGAAAGTGTTATGGCGGGAGATACTCAGATCACCTTGCTGTCAATTCAGTATTTCCAAAACAGTTTTTTCTTTAAATAGTGCTAAGTACCTGTATCACTAAACAATAATTTGCAATTCACAAAGTTACTAAATCACTTATGAAACCTGTATTTGAACAGCCTGTCTTGCAGCTTGTGCTTGAAGTCTTTGATTGCGTTTTTCTTCTGTTTCAGCTGCTCTTTGTGCTTGCATTCTTTTAGCGGCAGAAGACTTTCCATAGAAAGGGCGTTTCTTGGGTGGTATAATCGAAAGAGACTTTGGAATGACGTAAAGTTAGACTTCAAGCTCAAGCTGAAAGGCAGGCTACTCAAAGACAGCAAGAAACTGCTGAACAGCACAAAGCCAAAGTTCAGTCAGAATCATCAAGGTAAGCTGGATATAGACAACAAGAAACTTCTGAACAACATCAAACCAGACTTCAAGCACAAAAATTGAGACAAATAACTTACAGAGAGCAAGAAACAGAGAAGCAATATGATGTACGACTTCAGACTCAAGACAAGCTCAAACACGATCTAATTTCAAATAAAGCTTTGTTTGATTAAATGCTTTATTTCTCGAATCACAACTTTTATCTACTTACTGAATAATTTGCTGAAAAAATACTGATCTATACATTTCAAATCTAAATTTTCACCGTGCAGTGCCAGGTAACTCACACAAACACATGCATGTATTTCTGTTATGTACAACTACATGCTCACTGTTTCTTTGGTGACAAACATCTGTAAGTATGTAGCTATTATGAATTAGTTATTTAAAAAATTACAATATCTAAGTAATTTATACAATTCAAGAGCTTCATTACACCAAAATTAGTTTTTCCAATATAAAAAAGTAACAAAAATATCATCCAATTTCCTTTTTATGATGAGTGACTTTTGATTTAACTTGTTTTATTAATTAACACAGTTTTTTGTAATAAACACAAAAAGTAGTAGAATAAGGAAACTGCTCGTCTTCCTACAAAAAAATATACTTAAATTAGTTAAATACATCCTTTAAAGAAATTATAGTTTCCAACACCACTGTGATTGATCTTGTAGAAAAATGACAACAAAAAGTGAGCCCATTATTGTACAGTTATATACAAAAGTCAGTAGAATGATTCTATCCTAAAAGAAAAAATATTTGATTACTATTTTTAGAATTACACAGAAATTCATTACATAAAGCACAAATACAATTATATGAAAACTTCTTTCTTCTTAGTTCTTCTTTGGACCAAAACATAAACTGTACATATAATGCTAAAAAATTATAGAAAAATGGCAATTTGTGTAGATTGGTACAAAAACATGTACACTGTAAAACAAATCCAAAGTCAAAACTTTTTACAATAAAGTTTTTTAGTGCTGATACAGAGATTTGAATATGGTATATTAAAACAATTTTGGAACCTAACCACATCATTACAATTCATGTTGTCAGGTCTGGTCATGTTCTATCTGATGACCATACAACTTGACAATAAAACTCTGTAGTACAGTTTCTATTGCAAAGCATTTTGGTGTAAGGTTGTCATGTCCAAAGTGCACCACATTACCCTGCATATTTTCTATAATCCATCTCATGTACAAGGATAGCAGTTTCCCAGGACCCATTTCAACAGTCCAATTGCACAGAAATCCATATGAACTCTATCTGGTGACTTAACAATATGTATTTGTATGAAATAGCATAAATACTGAACACCCATTTCTTCCCAAGCTGCTGTGGATGGGTTTTATTATGTTACTTAGTATGTAGCCCTCCAAATGTTTTATGAAGTTTAAAATATAAAATGTTCACTGTCAAAATCTGTATTGTTTGGTATTCTTTCTTGGACTCAGCATCACAAGTCCAAGCTAACTGATTTCAACTTTGTTACTTTATATAAGTAACTATTTTCTTTTTTACTTATTTATTCATAATTACTATTATTATACATTATTATTTCAGTGGTCTCTAAGCAAGTGAAAGGCAAAGAAATGCTAATTTGTTACTGTAACATTGAGGCTTAGCAACACGAGCATTATTTGTATTCAATTTTAATAACATCATGGTCAACTTGTATTTCAATAACTCAGTGGTTCCCAACCTGGGGCCTGCGAATGTAATACTGGGGGGGGGGCATAAATTATTTTCTTTAATTAAATAATGCATGGCAAGACACAGAATAATAATACGTAAAATGCTGAAACTGTTCTATAACTGTCACAATTTTTCTGGTTCTCCAAGTATGTGAGAAAAGCCCTTAAAATGAGTTAATTATAAGTCTATAAAAACAGTTTGTTGGGTAGGTGGAATCTTTCAAAAACATGGTGTCCATGGGAAAAATAATAACAATAAAAGGGGTCCTTGGTGGTGAAAAGATTGGGAACCACTGTACTAACTCCGCAACTGATACAAGCTAAGCAATGCTAGTTTGATTAAACCGAATAATGAAATGGTTATTTTTTCACAGTCAATCACTTAAGTACCTGATTAGCTGCATCTGCTAGTTGACTGAAGAATCCAGTATTTCTTGACACACATTAAATATTTTGATTTGCAAAATACAGTTGCATTACTTACAAGCTGATGTTTCAGGCTTCAACTACTTCATAGTGACATAAGTAACTGAATATTCTGCACGACTGTGAAGTTAGTAACAGAATATAACACACATATTTGACTAGTATGTATTCTAACATGATGTTATTTATAGGAATGTTCATTATAATGTTGAATTTATGACAAAAATTAGTAATATACTTCAACATAGCTGATTGGCCAGCTTTTGACTTTGTTTATGCAATCATTTTTGCAACTCATACCAGTACAATTAAGGCATTAAATGACTGATTATCTGTTGAAAGCTTTTGTAGGACAATAATAACATTGTTTTTACTGATCAAGGTTCATGACTGTACTTAATAGCAGTTTTATATCTGTATGTAAATACACAATCAATATGTGAAAAAAAAAGGCATCATAAAATTAGATTGCTAATAACTAATATTGGACTATCCTTATGAAAATTAACTCAATTCTGACAAGTACACAAAATAGTGGTGGGAAAGATTGTGAAAAAACAAACTTTATTTAAAAGAGTGACACAAAACAAGAATTTTTTTTGTTGATATCTCAAAATTTCTGCTTAAAGATATTTAGAAGATATTTTAGTTCTCCAGGACTCTCGATTATATTATGATTTTTCAAGGACTTTCCACTCCTGGAAATTAAACGTCCAAACATCCAGGATTTTCCATAACCTATGAGAACCTTGCTATAGTTACAACATAAAGTCAAACTACAAAAATTGCCATACGCTCAGATTTGATTCAAAGTATTTTTAACTTACATATGGAATTGGTATCACTAATTCTAATCTGAATATTAATTATACATGTTTTTTCAACTTTAGTTTCCTCAAATAATCAATGTTGGTTTTCGAAACAAATTATATTTTGTAAACTAAAGTGTAACTGAGCTCTTATAAAAAATACACATATATGGCTTATGTAATATAATTATTTGATATTTAGTTTTGGAACCTTGTATTTTACAAATTTCGTGGTGTAAGAAGCCTTATTTGGTAAATCCATCAAAAATAGCATTAATCAGTACTTGAATCTTTAATATATAAACATAATTACCTTTTTCACATGTATCACTTTTTTGGTGGTGTAAACAACCAGTTGAAAATGAAGGACGATTGGTTGAACTTGATGGACCTTCAGCACTCCCAACATGTCTAACTTCTTGGTTTGGGTCATTTTCCTGAGGTTCTATTTCATGCTTTGGTGGAGACACTACTATCTTACCATGAAATTTCTTGATTTGCAATTGTCTTTCATTACCTGGGCAATAATCAACTTTACTTTTCACAACATGCACTGGTGGTAGAACAAATTTTTCACAGTAGCACTTGAACCCACAAACAAAGTCAAACGATCCAATCCTACCATGGCATTTTGGGCAAGTAAGTTTTCCTTTGATCCAGTCTCCCTAAAAAATAATAAATACCATGAAAAACAGTTCATCACAAACACACACATTTAGCACCAAAATTAATCTTTGTAAAATTTAAATTATGTGTAATACTTGTTTACTAAAGTCTTTATTAATGTTATCAAAATATAGGAATACTTCTATGCAAGTGTTGTAATATGAAGAAACATTAGCACTCGTATAAAGACAAGTATTTTTCACAATCTTGATTCTGATGTAGGTTTCAGGATTTGATAAGTTAAATAAAAGTTGTTAATATATATTTTTTAACAATTATCCATTACTTGAAAGCATCTGGTAATTTTGCAAAATGAAATGACTAAGTCATATCATCTGAGCATGGATTAATCATTTTCAATGAAAATTTGATGCACAACAGCATAAAATGACCATTAGTTATTTTGTCCATTATTTGAAAGTTCTACAGTTACACAATATGATACCTGTTGGTATTTATTATTATTACTTTTAAATATTTAAAAATTAATAATACACCCAAATATCCCCACTTTCTTTCATATATTATGCATACAAAGTTTATTATTCTATTTTACACAGAAAACTACTTTGTTGTTATATTGGCACAAAGAATAAAAAAATGGAGCTTTACCCACTAAAGGCTTATTGGTAACTTACAGCCTAGCAGTTATTTTGTGACATCATGTGTAAGATGTTTAATTGTAGATGAACTACCATTTATTAGGCCTAATAATTATGATTGACTGCTGATGTATTTTATCAAATTTCTATTAATTTGGTCTGCTGCAAATTTCATATCAATCAGGTCATTCATCTGCCACAAGTCACTGCTTAAGATGGCCTTTTCTTAAATGCTAGAACTGGACCTTAAATGCTATTTGTATGCAGCACAAGAAGTTCAGTGCTATGTTCAACTCTTGGTCTTGACAAGATACATCTTGAAACTTTAAAGAATCTGAGTACTAATATGGTGGGTAGATTATTGGTAATTTCTCAAGTCTTCAGAAAAATAAGAGTATTCACAATCATTCAAGGACTGCTAACATGAGTTTTATCTATAAAAGAAAAGAGGCTGAGGGAAGATTTAGAAATGTACAGGCCCATCAATTTTTACTTCTACTAAACTCAGTTCTCTATTTTGCTAAAAAACAAGACCATCCCAATTTAATAAAGGAATTTGTCTTATCAGTTTGATATTTATTCTAAGTTTATGCTTTTTAAAAATATTTTTCCTTTTGTGTTTCACATAATTTAATGGTTATTTACAAAGTTAACATTTTCCTTACCTGAAAATGTATTTCAGGTAGACAATTACCTCTCCACAGAACAAATACCTAATATCTTGCTACTGCTGAAATTTTTTTTGTATATATGCTAGACCTTTTACTGAACTCCCACTTCTATGTATAACATGTATAATTAGCATTAGACTACACATTTCCAACAAAAGGAGGCTGACACATCCTCCATGCTCAATACTCCCCACAAGCACTTTTCACATACCGAAAGCTCATACTTGACAAGGCAAAAATGACAATGGAAGTGGGTAGGTAGAGTCAGTAGTTCTGTGGGTAGGTGAGTATCTGTCTGAAATGTATTTTCTGGTTAAGAAACTGTTAAAATTCAGAAATGCTACTCACCTCTCTACTGTACAGATAGCTAAAATCCTGCATTGAGAAGATGGTGAAGAGATTGGTGTAAATAGTAAATATGCAGTTGTCTAACTGGATGAATGCAAGTAGTAAGGTTCGTGAGAGAAACTTTATAGTTCATTATTTACAGAAATGCTAGTGACAGCAAGAGACCTGTACAGTATGGGTTCCAAATATTTCTCAGCAAAAGGCCCACAAAACATTACTCCCCCACCCAATGAAGCTATAGATATTGAGTACCTTTTAGGTTATGTGAATTTTATGCATTTGCTGTGGTCCCCTGACACTTTCACATAGCCCCCAGTTTGGGAACCCCTGTTTTAAGATGAAGGTTTATGTTATAGAGAAGAATAACTGCTAAAACCAAAACATCATTATTTGACTGACTGTTTGGTTGTGGTGGCCATGACCAATCTAGAGAAATTTTAAGATTTAGCAAAGAAATAAAGGTGATTTGATTCATATTTTCAAAATTGTTAGCCTTGAACAGATTGTCTATTAGAAGCTTTATTGATTTCTAAACTAATGGATTGTTATAATTATTTGTATGATGGTGTCAATAAAAATTAGTTTTAGAAGTGATGACCCACACATGTTCTTAAATATTCAACTATTTTAAAAAAGCATATAAAATTCATTACAAAACAACCAACAGCAATAAACCATAACTTTAGTTCAAGACTTTGTAATTAGTGATTAGAAAGTTGAACTTAGTTGTTTTTCCTTGTTTTAGGTTAATCAAGTTTGACAAGTCTGTTAAGAAGGCTAAAATGTTCATAAAATGTACCACTGTATAGACACTTTGTGTACAGTAATGTAGTTTCCATAATATTTTTAGCTGCAGCATAGCTGCTCACACAATAGATGTGGTTTTTTTTCAAGTACAAACTCTTAGATCATAGCCCCCATATCTCTTGACTGATTTGAGATCTAATTACAGTTTTGGTCTCAAGATGTCAAACCCTTTCGATTGATGTATTTCACCATGACCAAGGTCTCATAGATTAATTTACCCTAATGCTGCCTAAAAGAATTTCAATTTGAGAGTAGGCTGATAGAGATCCTGATGAGTAATAAAATCAAATCGGTATAAGCGTGCCCCATGCTTCGTATTGCTGGCACACAGAAATATAGCGAATAAAAAGGAAAAAAAAACTTAATGCTCTTTTATGCTTATTCATTGAGTGTGACATGAGTTTAGATTTTATTGTTATTGTTGAAAAGTATGCCGATGCAAAGGCCAGAAAAAAAATCATTTTTACTTCACGTATTTTATAAAATTTAAACTTACAATAAAATCAAACTTCTATCCATATCATTAAATTTATTGTTGTTCTCATGTTGGTGGATAATTTTCCTGGTAAGTCCTTTAAGAAAGAAGGGGCACATCTAAAACTGTAAGCCTAGAGTGCCAGTTAAACTTAATACACCCCTGATATCAACTACGATTTAAAGTAGTTTCCAAACATTTATATGATTATTACCCTTTGGTTTTACATTTTGCCAGAAATTTCAAGTAGTTAATCAGTAATTAACAATTATTTTGGCTGCAGAAACATATGTAATTACTTTAAAAACTGCATCAGATGCCAAAAAGTAAAAAAAAAAACAACAAACAAACCTGGTCAATCTGCTCAATCATCCAATCCTGCAAATTCTCTTCTTTCAAGTACCACACTGTATCGCTATTGCATGTTGGATGAAAACCCTCAGACTGGAGAATCACGGTGTTTTCAGCAAAACTTTCTGACTCACAATGACTATTTACAACAATTTCTCCACAAAACAAAATCCTGCGACATTTTTTACACTTAAAGGTTGTTCCTTGCATCTTCTTTACCTAGGAAAAGGACATGAATATCATTCAAAAATTTTATATTGGGCATTATCACACGATGGTAATTGGTCAGTCATAAACCTTGTGTTTGTGAAAAAACTTAAGAACCAGCAATGTGACAAGTGACTATTTGGGTCATCAGAATCACCCCTTTACCTAATAAAACTACTCAGCCAAAATTAACCACTCAATCCAAAGTTAGCATCCGTACATCTGTTCAATCCAGAATGAAATACATACAAGTTTTAAATTACTCTAGCCTAAGGTCCAATACAGGATATAAAATTACTCTAGCTTAAAGTCCAATACAGGATATAAAATTACTCCCACATTGAGTCCGATACAGGATATAATTTCCCCCAAAGGACAATTTTAGAACCAAACTTCATAGTTCAGACTTACTGCTTTCAACATTCAAATTCCCACATAAAATTAAATCTATGATAGTACTTGAAGCCAACAGCAATTGTTTGTGTATTCCATAAGTGATGTATACTTTATTATTTCTCATTAACTTAATGTATTAAGAATAAACTAAATCTCCCAAGATGGCCAAACCTTGTGAGATATTATTTGGTTTACACCCGAAAATATTGTTAACAGCAAGGGTACCCAACTGGTGAAACAATGCATTCTAATCTTTAGAGGACATTAGGAAAGTATATTTAATTAGCTATGCTCATTACAATGTTGACTTTTGTCTTAGTCTATGTTGGTAACTTGTTCTGTTTTGTACCAGTGTTTCAGACATGAGGGGGGGAAAAAGGTTCCCAAGTTCAATAGCTTTTTTAATGTGGGAAAGATTTTTCTTTAAAATTATTTTCATGGTAAAGTTGTTTTAAAAACTCTTTTGAGAAAAAAAGAAAAATAAAGTAACAAAAGACCATTAAGCCAATTGGGGTCATTGTCATCCATAATTTTTTTAAATCTAACTGAAAGAATCCCTTCAATTTTGCAAATATTTCTGAAAAATAACTTAAAGGAATTAAAGTTAGCTGTACATCATTAGACAAACCATTTCACAATTTGATCACTCATAGTGGAAACATCTGAAAAATAACAGATCTAGATCTCATCATTGAAATCTTAAATCTAAGACCTCTAATGTTTGAATTCATATTTTCAACATTTTACATTCCACTACTAAAGAGACAAACTTACCATTACCACCAAGAGGAAGACTGAAAACTCCTAACAATGTTGAATACCTAAATCAAATCTACTTCACATTCAATTCTTTTGTGTACTCCAGGGAAGAGCCCAAAAGTTTGAAAGATCCTCTTCAGTTTACAAAACTTAAATTATAAAGTAGACATATTTCTAATACCTAATCTCTGCACCTAGTCTCAAGAACTGAAGAAGTTAAGATTTGTCCTGTAATAAAGAGATAGCCCAAATAAAAGGCAAGGTTTCTTGTTACAATTTGACATTTACCATTGTACAATACAGTTATATACACAACACAATACTACAAATTAGGCCTTACGAGTGTTATAACGCTAACATGAGCTTTTTATTTTTGACTAAGTTACTCCTAAGAGTAAGAGTGCTATGAAAATAACACATTGATAATAATAAAATAGCCAGTTGAACTTAATTAAGCTAAGAGTAAGAATTTAAGAAATCAATATTGTCACTTCAGATCTTTGGCTTTTTTTTTTGTAACATAATTTTTTGGAAAAAACTACGGGTTTTGCTCTTTAATTCTATCAGTATCACTATCAAGTTCAACTCAAGCTGTGAATAGAAAACAACACAGATTTATACAAAAACTTTTTTGAGGGAGAGATTACAGATTAGTAATAATATCAATATTAATTACATTTTAAAGTTTACAATATTCTCATTGTATCAATAGTACACGAGGTTGTGTGCCTAGTTGAGATCCTAAACTAAAGCCGCTAAATACAACTTAACACTAAATAATAACAGTTGAAGTTAGCTAGTAAATAATCCAAGTATATATACAATATGACATTAAGCTGCTTGTCATTAAATGTTAAAAAAAGAAAAGTATTTGAAATTGGCTTCACATATGGTTGACAATACTAGTTTTTATTACTTAAATCTAATGCCTTTAACTTTTAAGTAAGATTAAAGACCAAACCTATTCGAAGCCTACTTATGGTCGGTAGGATAAGATTTAATGCCTTTCAAGAATGTTAACGTTTTATAATGATTAGCGCCATCTGCACTTTGCCCAAATTTCTTATCAATATAAAGTATTAAAATAATAAATACGAGGTAGCAATTTCTATTTTATGATTAGTTATAATTCTGTTTATGGTTTATGTATTTTCTTCAGTTACTTTTGCAGCTATATTTTTATTTGTATTAAATGCTGGTTCATCTTCCTCCTATGCAATATGAAATATTAAATAAATTATTTTTATATTACGAACCCAGCATGAGGTTCACCTAGTGGATACTAAGTTCATGATTTATTACGTAAAACCAATGTTAACTATTTAGTCATGTGACTTATCATCGCACGGTCTGGCAAGTGAATAAATTTTGTTTTTTGTTGTTAAGCGCAAAGCTACATAATAAGTTATTTGTGCTGTGCCCACCACGAGTATCTAAACTCGACAACTCAGCGTTATAAGCCGTCAGACTTACCGCTGAGCCACTGGGGAATATCAATACAGTAGAAAAGTTTTAAGGTAAAAAAGAAACTTATAAGCTGAAGTACAACGTTAAAATATAAAGTTTTTGTTGATCCACAAGCTTTCTAGCTTTTAAAGAGCTCCTCCACAGGCGAAATTACATTATGATAGATGCCACACCAATGAGTTTTTCTTTTTACACTTTTACCTGTGAAATTTTCACGCAATAATTAGAGAAGTGCTATGTATACTTCATTAAACAAACCTTTACAATGTGGCGGTATGGTTACTAAACTTTTGAAATCTGGGGCCTTGATCATACAGAGCTTAATGTTTTCTTAAACTATTGTTTGTTTGTAATTATACACAAAGCTACACATTGAGCTATCTGTGCTCTGTCCATCACGGGTATCTAAACCCGGTTTCTAGCGTTGTAAGTCCGCAGACATACTGCTTTGCCACTGGGGGCTTCTTGAACTATCTTAATGAACAGTACTACTCTATTCTGTCTACAGTAGAAGTCGAAAACTAAGGGAAACTACCTTTTGTTTGACACTCAAGTAATCAAAAATGATTAAACCCTTCTCATAAAGCCCTTCAGAAAACTAATGCGCCATTGTAACTCCATTGCATCTCTTACCATTCAGGCAAACATGGAATGTTAAACTGTTTAACAAAAAAGTCATCTGGAACTTGGGATTACAAGTTTGTCGGCACCAAGCTTAAACATCACCGTCATGCATTCCGAAAAAAAAAAATCATTCTAAAACAAATCAACGCCGAACGGAACAGAGAACAAAATCAATCTATACAAAAACCCAAAACTGAAAAGCTAACCTCAACTATTCTATCATACATATCAGGGTTTTCACCAAACATTCTCTTAATTTGTGGTAAACACGAAATTCAGACTCTTTTGAAAAAAGACAGAACATTTAGATTGATTTTAACAAAAGTAAAATAATCCTATGACTATCAGTGCACAGAAACATGTCGTATATAGAGCTAAGTGTAAATGCGGGAAAGAATATGTCGGAAAGACAAAAATATCATTAAAGGCTAGAATTCAGGAATGCTATCTCCTCTGGACACTTAACCACCATCAGCCATCATGGAACACAGAACCCTGTATGCAAAAGGCATAGACTAAAAAAGTGCTTGATCGGAAGTCTAAACATATCAGGAAAGGAATAAAATAAGCCCTTCAAATAAAATTGAAAACAGAGAGCCAGAAATGGAATCAGTAGAGACATAGGATCCATATGTAACTCCTAATTCTGCTGGCAGACAGTCCTACTTTAATCTAATTTCAAACATGTAAGCTTCGATGGACTTTGATGTGATAAACATTGTATACTACAGGACACTATGTGACTTCTCTGAAACATAATTATCGTTTTATTAATTATCTCTTATGCTCTTTTAAATTGTATATGCATTAAATGATTTCATTACCAATTTCCTTACGTTTAGCAAACTTATAAATTTACCACACCATGGGTAGATTGATTAAGTGTATAAAATATTGTGTATAATCTCGTGATTTTTTCACACAACTGATTTCTATTTTTAAGCGTTTTTTCAGTTGTATTTACACTTGACGAAGAGCTCTTTAATTAAAGAGCTCGAAAGCTTCTGAGTTAATATAACGTTATATTTTAATGTGGTACTTGAGCTTGCAAGTTTAATGGCATTTAAACAATATGTAAATAGTCTTAAGTTTAATATTTGAAGTTCGACTGAGAGAGAAAGAGAGGTGTTTCATTAGAAATCTGTGTATGTGATGCCTATGGTATTTTATTTACTAAAATATTAGGTCGTCAAGAAATTAATGTCGATTTTTTTAGATGAAAAATCCGAACAACTTATTTATCAAAACAAAACATGTATTAAACAAAATAGTAATCATTCTTATCGACGATACTTTTTCATCTTACAATCAGGTTGTTAATGCTCTGATTAAAAAAATCACTTGGCTTTAAATAAAAAAAAACATGTCGATGTCCTCTTTAACACCTTCCACATTTGCATACGTTGCTGCAGCGAACGAAAAAGATAGTAATCGTTATCTGGAGAATATGGTGGGTGGGGGAGAAGTTCCC